GTCACCGTCCTCTAATCAGGGCTCCATCCAGAGCCACCGCGCTGTCGTGCCCTGTCTCCAGACCCTTGGCGTCCCCTCGGCACTCCGGGCGTCTCGTGTGAGGGATTGGAACGGTCCGTTTGGCCAAATCAAACACCCTAAAACCTGATCAGGCTTAAATAGTGCTGAAATTGCACTGAAACCACTATTTTCAAGTATTTTCAGAAGTTTCCACGAGAGGTGAAGTGGAGCCCAGGCTTCCTGGTGTTTCTAATGCACGACTGGGGAGATGCCTGGCAGCTCTCACCTACTTTAAAACCAAATAGAGGTTTTGCATTCCTGCCTTTCTCTGAAATTTTCCCTAGTCATAAACATCACACCCTTGTTTGGTTTTTTTTTGACTTTGCTGTTGCAGGAGCTGAGGTTGTGTTTTCTGTGGACTGCACCAAGCTGAAGGACTACTTTTCACCAGAAGAAAGACAATTCAATTGCATTTACTTCAACTTCCCCCACTGTGGGAGGAAGGCTGGGGTAGTGAAGAACAGGGAGCTTCTTGCCCACTTTTTCCGTAGGTGAGTAACCCAGAAATAGTTCTGTGCTGGTTGCCTGCTGTGATACACGTTTGTAGCTGTGCTCTGGGTGCTTTTCTGGCCCTGTGAAATCTGTGGGTGTGCTAACAGGGTTCTTCTCGTTGGTGCCTTTCCTTCCAGCTCCGCAGAAGTGCTGGCAGAGGAGGGAGAGGTGCACGTGGCTCTTTGCAATGGCCAGGGTGGGACACCCGCAGACCAGCCAAGGAGGGAGTGGCACAACAGCTGGCAAATAGTGGCTGTGGCAGCAGGAGCTGGATTTATCTTGAGTGATGTTCATCCTTTTAATGCAGAGACAATCCATGGATATAAATGTACAGGTTACAGGTAACTATCACATGGCAAAACAGAAATTCTGATATTTGTGCTCTTACAAAGGCCAGCATTGGTGTGTTCTTTTAGTATCTTGTTTGCTGGAGAGGAACTCCTTTTAAATTTCCTTAAAATAGCTGCAGTTCTTTCTCACCTCTAAGCAGAATAGCCAAGATTCAAATGCAAGCTTCTTGCCAAAGTACCCTCTAAAAATAAGACTGTCTTAGGATTTTAAAGGTCAAAATCGTCAGGAGGACTGTGGTGTGTGTATCTGCTCAGCAGGCAATCCCAGCAGGGTTGTAACGAGGCCTGGGATTCACTAAGATGTGTGTTGGTGCAAGGCTTTCTTGTGGCACATTAAATATCAGAAATTATTGATGGCTTTGCTGTGGTTTTGTGTGTTGTCAGGAGCCAAGATAAAGCCTTCTGTGTAGAGGGTGCCCTGAACCACATTTTCACACGGAGCACTCCACTCCTGTGTTTCTCACCCAGGAGCTGCAGGATACAACTGGAAAACCAAAAGGTTTCTTTTCAAGTGCCACAGGTCCTTGTGGATAAAATTAACAGGTGAGTTTTATAATTAGTTTCTGTTTGGCTCTCAGTGGGAGTGACCAGGTGTCAGATAAATGGATATGATGATTGGAAAGCCCCGTTCCTTTTTTATTAGCAAATTCAATTAATTCTTGCTTGCAACCTGGAGACAAACACCAGTGTCCTGAAAACATGCAACACGTTTGGTGAGAGGCTTGGCTTGTTCAGGTAGTTACTAAAAACTGGCTTAAGAATGTTTTGGGTGAATTGCTGCACTCAAATTATGGCCACAGGAAGGCTATTCCGGGGAAATCTGTTTAGTGGTGTCTGTAATCTGCACTTTTATTTTTCCCAGGGGTTTCCTAGAACCGAATTCAAACCACCCAGTCCGGACAGTGAAGGAGGAGCTTGCTGCAGGGCTCAGCCAAGCCTTTCCAGTACAGGACACTGACTCCTGCCTTCCCCTGCTCCACCAAGGCCACCTCGAGGGGGTTTGTCCCTCCAGTATCTTTTGGATCACTCTGAGCCCAGAGGAGACTCCAAGCCCTGAGGAAATGTCTCCTGGACCTGCAAATGGACCTGTTCTATTTTCCTGTGCTGATTTTTGCCAGGGCACAGAGAAGAACGTACCAGAAGGACGTCACAGTCCAGAGCAGTTTTATCTCAGACCGTCCCTGCTGCCTCATGCTCAGGCAATAATGCAGGAAGGAGCCTTTTTCCCAGGGACACTCCGTGTTCTTTCTGGGCCAGTTTTCAGGAAGTGTCGTGTCACTCCTCACTCCATGCCTGTTTTTCACGAGGTGCTCATTGTGTTTGCAGTGAGCAGGGGTACAGAGAGCAGCTGTGTCCAGATGTTGGTGAATAACATCACATCCACCATACATTCCCTTCAGCAGACTGGCACTAAACCAAATATCAACCTGCAGGAAGCAACGAGCTCTGAAACAACTGAGCTAAGTGACTTTGCTGCTTTTGAGTCTCAGCTTGGTAAAATCCAGTACTTC